TGCAACAAGAGTTGGAGCTTTTTGGTCTGAGATGGTCAGTGAAATGCCCTCTATCTATTTATTTTGATAGACTTATTCATCAAGAAGTGTAACTATGGAAGAGGCAGATGCCAAAAATCATGCAAAGACAATGAGAAAAGGGAAGAAAATTGTGGGAAATACAATGTTTCTGCCTCAGGAAGCTATCACACTTTGCTGAAGAAAGCAAGACAAGTGAGATTCTGTATTTACTTGAAAGTTCTGGCTTTAGATACTTAAAGTCATTATAATAAGTCAGTGGGATGGTTATGTAGAGCATCTGCTTGGGTCTTAGATTTCTGTTGGGTCTTCACAGGATCCACTCAAGATATTCAGGGGCCTAGGGAGTGCAAATAAGAGTTAATTCCAGCTATCAATATATCTCTTTAATATTTGATTGCTCAACTTTCTAGATTGTCCTAGAATAAGACTGATAATAACAGTGCTCATGGTAAAAGAATTTTATCTGTATCTGGGATTCCCGAGCCTCTGACCAAGTGCTAAAAGATCCCTGTATATAGGATTTTCAGATTAATGTAAATTGTACCTTGGCTACAGATTCTTACCTAATGTCGGATACTAGAGAGGTGAGATAGTCAAGCAGGATCTAGAAGGTCTCTTCTTTCCTCTTGAGCTCAAGGTTTAGCTCCAATCTCTGTCTTATGGTCCTTTGGAGTGAATCTCTTACGCCAAATCTCTAACCACACTTGGTTGTCTAAAGACTGGCGTACCCTCTGACCAGGAAGCAAGTACTCCTGCTCTAATTACATGGAGCTCAAGTATTTATTTAAAACTCTCTTTTTTCTCTTTTCTTTCTTTCTTTCTTTCTTTCTTTCTTTCTTTCTTTCTTTCTTTCTTTCTTTCTTTCTTTCTTTCTTTTTTTTTTTTTTTTTCCTGAGGGCTGGCCAAATAGTTCAGCTGATTAAAGCGCCTGCCAGCAGGCACAGGGGCCGGGGGTGTGATCCCCGGGCCTACGGTGCTGGCCCCGCCCCCCTGGGCCCCATGAGATGGCAATTGAGACTGGGTGTGGTGGTGCCCCTGTAATCCCAGCTCTTGGGAGACAGGCGAATCACTATGAGCCCGATCTAGTAGTAAGACCCTGAACACCCTGTAGACCCTTCCCTAAAAAATTTTTAAAAAATAATAAAATAAATAAAAATAAAAATTAAAAAAAAACCTCTCATCGTATACCGAAACTTACTATGGCCAGAGACTTGGCTTAAGTTTATGTATGTTTGTTCATTTGTTCTAAGAACTCCACAGAATTAGTCTTATGTCCTGTTGTTAATTGAAGAAATGCCCCTTTTCCAAATTATGTCTTGAAGTAAAAAATACCAGTACCTCAGAATGTGAGTACATTTGGGTTAGGGTCTTTAAAACAGCCAATTAAAGTAAAATGAGGGTATTAGGATAGATCTTACTCCATATGAGTGGTGTTCCTACAGGAAGAGATTAGGACATAATTATTTCACAATGAATTATAATACACAGGTGCAAAATGATCGTAAACCCAGGAGGATTATGGACACTTGCAAGTCAAGGAGAGAGGCCTGGGAAGAAACTGACTCATCTTTTGATCTTGAACTTTAAAAAGCCTCCAGAATTATGAACAAAATAAATTTTTGTTTAAGCCACCCGGCTTGTGGAATTTTGTTGCGACAGCCATAGAAAACTAATACAAACATACTGTAACATTTGCCTCCTAAATATTCTCCCAAAAGTCTAAATCTCAGGTTTCTTTTCTTCTTCATATACTCTTGCTAGGCCATAAAACACAGGAATTTATCCTAAACTCCCTTTAGGGTCATTCCCTAGCCACCTCTGCAGCCTCATCTACAGCCCCTACTCCTTTTCATTTCCCACCCTGAACCTCACAAACAGTTTGTGTTCTTAGGAGGTTATTGATCTAACTTTTCACCCTTCTTTTCACTGGGGAGCCCTCCTACCTAGAGGGTTATTCTTGCAAACCACAACCCATTCACATCCCTCTGCTGGAGAAGGAACATTATCATGACAATATTGATTAATAAAGCAATCAATTTATGAAATCAGTTTCCACCCAAGCATCTTATTGTTTTATTACCTATGTCTTTCTCTAATCTTGCTGATCAATGTCTTTATTGGACTCTGTCTCAGTTACTCTTCTCTCATTGCTGGGACAAATACCCAACACTCAAAATTAGGGAAGGAAAGGTTTCTTAGCTCACAGTTACTGGAGGTTTCAGTCCATACTCAGCTGGCTCCAAGGCAGAGTGGCACATGGCAGAAGGGAAACTTTCATGGTGGCAGCAAAGAGCAGAGAGCATAGGGAGGGGCTGAAGCTCAGGCAGCTAGCTAGCCTCTCAAGCCTCCTTATATTGTAATGCAAATTACCTGCCTAGGGCACGTGAAGCACCCACACCCACGATAATCAATCACAAACTCCAGAAACTTTCCCATGACTGCATGAAGCTTTGGGGGGACACCTAGACATAAACTGTAACAGACTTATAGTGAAAATTTGAAAATCCATTGCAGATTACTGTAGTGATATTCAATTTTGTTTAGTAGACAAGATTTTCTCAAGATGTTGATAGTAATTTTTAAAAACACACTAATCATACACAAAACCATTGATAAATAAGAACCAGTCAGAATTGTACTAGTTTAAAATAGAAAAGAAAATTGACAAGACTCATGATTTAATAGGTATTTTAAAACATTGACTAGCAAAGCATAAGGAAAAATACTTTTTTATACTGAAAAATATGGAAATTTAGAATATTTTTGCAAACAATTATTATCTAACATAAAAGTCAAACATAAATGAAATATTCTGTATCATGCTACCATAATGATAGCTGAAAAATTAAAAGCATACACACAAATGAACAATTCTACTCCTTTTAGGATTTCTTTCTTTCTTTTTAATATATTTAGTATGTATCTGAAGGGTCTCACTACAGAAGTTGGACTCATAGTGATCCTCCTGTTTTTCAGCCTCCCAAGTGCTGGGATTATAGGTGTGTGACGCCAGGCCCAGTCTCAATCACTATCTCAGTGTGCCCCTGGGGCAGGATCGAACCCCAGTCTCGTCCCTGTCTAGACAGGCACTCTCTGGCCAACCCATTGATTTCTTTATTTAGAGACAGAGTCTCACTCTGTAATTTGGGCTGGCCTTCAACTTAGCTCAGGTTGGTCTTGAACTCTCAGCCATTCTCCTGCCTCAGCCTCCCAAGTGTGTGGATTACAGGAGTGCATCACCACTTCTAGCTAGTTCTAGTATTTTAAAATAAGTACGTGAGTCACAAATCTAAAGTTCTATGAATTTCACAATTTCATACCCCATAGCCAAGAGAAAGACCATTACTTTCCAAGAGTTTCAAGTTCCTCTCATGTTTCATACCTAGAAAGTAACTATGAGTCTGACTTCTTTTTATTAAATTATTTTTTTTAATTAATATGTATTTCACACATTCAAAGCTTCTTTGTGATACAGTGTAGGCTGATCAAATCCAGGTCCCCTTCATCCCCAAACTCTCCCAATCTCCAATAATAACTAGTCTACATCTAGATCAATTCTCTTTTAGACTTCTACATATATGACAGTGCTTGTCTTTCTCATCTCACTTAAAACAATGCCCTCCAGTTCCATCTATTTTGCTGCAAATGGCAGGATTTCAGTATTCTTACTTGTTGAACAGTACTTCTTTGTGTATATAAGCTACATTTTCTTCATCCACTTCTTAATGAATACCAAGGCTATAAGTAATGCTGCAATAGGGGGACAACCTGCTTGGGCCACTCCCTTCTGTCCCTCTGTTGGACAGGAGCTTTCTTTCCCTCAATAAATATATTCTGCTCATAACCTCTGTTCTGCCCATAAAAAAAAATAATGCTGCAATAAACATGGAGATGTATGCTGACCTCATTTCCTGTGGAATCAACAGTGAGACTGCAGGATTATGGGTATTTCTTTGAGGATGGTACATAGTGTTCTCCATAGTGGTGATACAAATTTACATTCTCACAAGCATTGTATAAGTGTCCTTTTCTGTCCACATTCTCACCCACATTTTTAAAATAATAGTCACTATACCTTGGAAGAGATAGAATCTCACTGTAGTTTTGATTTTGATTTCCCTCATGGCTAATAATATTGAGCACCATTCATATGTTTATTTCTGTCCATTTTCTCCTTTTGAGAAAGATCTATTTAAATCATTTACCCATTTTGTCAGAACTCTATTTTGTTGAATTCCTTATGTATTCTGCATAGTAAGCCTCTGTCAGAGAGATAGCTGGAAAATATTTCCACCTATTCTGCAGGTTGGCTTTAACTTTTTTTTTTTTTTTTTTTTTTTGGCTTTAACTTTGATTATTTCCTTTTATGTGCAGAGCTTTGTAATTTTGTATAAAATTGATCCCATTTATCAATTCTTGTTTTTCTTTCTTGTGCATTTGCAGTCCAATGCAGAAAATCATTGCCTGTGTGATACCTTGAAGTGTTTTCTTCTAAAAGTTGTAGAATTTCAGATCTTCCATTATGGCATTTGATTTATTGTGAGTTGATTTTTGTAGAGTGAGAGGTAAGGATCATGTCTCAGTGTTCTACATATGAACATCTAGTTTCCCCAGCTCCACTTATTGAAAGAAGCTGTCCTTTCTTCAACATATGCTCTTGGCAAGAGTCAGTTGGTACCTTTCCCAAGGGTCAGTTGGATTTATTTTTGGACTCTCTATTCTATTCCATTTGTCTATATATCTGTTTTTGTACCAATACTATACTATTTTTATTAGTATGGCTCTACAGTATGTCTTGAAAACAGTACCTTGTGATGCCTATAACTTAATTCTTTTTGTTCAAGATTGTTTTAGCTACTCAGGGTCTTCATGCTTCCATATGAATTTTAGGATTGGTTTTTCTAGTTTTGTTAAGAATGTCATTGGTATTTGCTTAGAGATCATGCTGAACATATAGATTGCTTTCGGTAGTACTGACATTTTAAGAATATTAGTTTTTCAATATATTCGTCTGGCAAATCTTTCCACCTGTTAGTATCTTCTTTGCTTACTTTCTTCAGGGTTTTTAAATTTTCACTGTAGAGGTCCTTCACATTGTTAGTTTTTGTCAGGCTTGACTTTCCCAGCACCTAACCTGGTTGTCAGCAGTGTCACTGTTCTCAGAGAAAATTCAGCTCAGCACTGGTGCTTCTGCCGTTGGCAAATATGGAATATCATAAAAAGAGGTACAGTGGAGCATGGAATCTTCCAAGCACCAGAACTTCTAAAGATACCCTAACATTTATGCCAGATGCCCCAAGGATTTCATCTACTGAGACACCAGACAGTTAAAGAATTTTGAATACATATGTTTGCCCAGATCTCCTCACCCGAGGGCCTGCACCCATGCACAATACATTTCATGTCATGTTGCCTTTAAACACAAACCTGGTTAAAGGGAGATGGCTCAGTAGAATAAGCGCTTGCCTGGCAAGCACAAGGGCATGAGTTCAATCCCCGGTTCCACAAAAATAAAAAATAAAAATAAACACAAACCTGTTGGTCTCTGCCTGGTGCCATTCATACAGTTTTATATGTATCAGTCTATCATCTATCCACCTATTGTCTATTTTCTCATTGTAATCATTGTCAATGGATTATTTTTCTGATTTATTTCTAAGCCAATTTGTTACATTGTATAGAAAAGCTACTGATTTTGTATATTCAACATATCCAACTTAACCTTACTGAATTTATCAGTTCTAGTAGTCCTTTAGTGCAACGTCGAGGTTTTCTGTGTATAAAACTATGTGAAAATAGGAATAATTTGATGTTCTCATTTCTTATTTGTATGGCCTTTGGTTCTTTCTTTTGCCTAACTGCCATTGCTGAAACTTCTAGGATAATAACAGAGGCCAGGTAGCTACTTTTGTATTATTCCTGATTTAAGAGGAAAAACGCTTTCAGATTGTCTTTGTTTAGTTGTTGCCTATGGATGTGTCACATATAACTTTCGTTATATTGTTATGATCTTTCTATAACTAATTTGCTCAGGGCTTTTATCATGAAAGAAATTTTATTTTATCAAATGCTTTTTTTATATCTAAAAAGTGATTATATGATTTTTAAACCCTTGGTTCTATTTATGTTATTGTATTTATTGATATGTATATGCTTAACCATCTTCATACCCTTTGAGTGGTGCATGATCCTTTTCAGTGTTGTTTAATTTTATTTGCAAGCATCTGGTTGAGGATTTTTCCATCTAAATTAATCAAGGGTACTTCTGTGTAGTTTTTTTCTCTTTTGTTGTGTCTTTTGCAGGTTTTGGTAGGCTATTAAAATACTGGCTTTGTAGAACGAGTGTGGAAAGTTTCCCTCCCCTTCATTTTTATGGGATAGTTTGAGAACAACTGGCATTAGTTCATCTTTATTTATTTATTTGGTACAGGGTCTCACTATGCAGTTCAGACTTGTAGTGATCCTTCTGTCTCAGCCTCCCCAGTACTGGGATTACAGGCGGCACGCACCACCACCCCTGGTTTCAATTGGTGGCATGAAGTGCCCACGGTCATCATGAAAAGCTTAAGTCTTCTATGGGTAAAATGATAAGGTTTTTTTATTCTAAGGTGCTCTTGCTACAAAATTAAAT